AGGCATGGGAGAGGTTTCCGGCACACACCCGCCGGCTAGCTCACGTTTGTGTTTTCCGGTGACAAAGCGACGTCGTACGGAGGAGCGTGGACTTGGTCAACAGGATTATACGAGGAGAATTATTTCCTCCCCGTACAATTGGCGCCGTCTGTGGGAAGAACAGACAAGAACAAAACCTCTTGACTAAGCTTCTCCTTTTTCAAGTCAATGGCACACATTGAAGAACTACCGCAGTCCGCCGTCGACGGGCTAACTCCAGACGGAGGCGCAAGGCAAGAAGGACTACCCTCTGTCCCTCCTATGGCGAATCTGGAGCACCAACAACATAACTCCAGGAGGAGTGGCAGGGGAAGGCGGAATAGCAGCCCTCATCACTCTCAGAGTCCTGACAGACAAAGGAGGAGGGTTGATCCTCAAACCTTGGAAGATCGCGTAAAGGAACAAGATGAACTAATTAGGAAGATGGCGGCGGACATGGAAGCACTCAAACGCCAGATGAAGACTAAAGAGGTGGCGACAGGAGAGGGGCGTAAGCACAAAACGCCCCCTCGCCACTCTGAGAATCGTAGTTAGGAATACTACACCCTCCCAAGGAGGGAGCAGAAGCCTCAGGATAGGCGACACTCACTCCTTATCTTCAAGGACTCGTCACTCCAGGTCCGAGAGGACGAGATCGTACACTGAAGGAAGCACGTATTGGCCTTCGCATTCACACCAAACTAGATCCAGACAAACCGAACTACCCAGGTCATCCGACTTACGAACCGTGCTAGAAGAAAAAGCACGATGCAGGGAGGATGCCAGGGCAAGGGATCCACACCGAGTTTCGGCCTTACAACGGTTGGCTCCTCGGACGCACGGAAGCGTCGAGGTTGGAATGCCAATACCGCGACCGGCCTACGAACCAGCGGACAAGGCATTGGCAAGACTGCAGACTTCGCCGTTTGTCCCAACGATCGAAAACGCGCCCCTACCATCAGGCTTCCTTCAGCCGAAGTTCAATACATATGAAGGGAAGACGGATCCGTATTCACACCTGAGTCACTTTCGCCAAGTCATGGCTGTGTACAGGCGAAACGAGGCTCTAATGTGCATACTCTTCCCATCAAGTCTGGGCGACTTAGGCTTGACTTGGTTCGAAAAGCTCCCAGAGGGCAGCATAGCCTCCTGGGCCCAATTGGCAGAAGCGTTCGTAACAAGGTTTCGGACAAATACTAAAACACCGGTGGAGATAGACCAGTTACTCTCCATCGACATGGGTGAGAAAGAAACCCTCAGATCTTACAACAGTCGCTACTGGGAAACATTCAACCAGATTGGAGACTGCCCCACCAATCTGGCCATTGCGCAATATAAGAGAGGCCTACCAGTAGGGAACCAACTAAGGGATTCAATTACCATGACGCCACCCCTCACCATGGAGGCCCTGATGGAGAGAGTGCATCAGCACATCAGGGTAGAAGAGGATGGCACACGTGCCAAGGCAAAATCAAGTGCGACTGCGGTGCCAGAAAAGAAAACCTCAGCAAAGGTTAATACGGTGGACCGAAGTAACAAGAACGGACGTGGCAGACGAGACAACGGAGAAGATCCAGACAAAAGATGGCTGAGAATCCGCACTGCCATAACAACGGTGTTTAAAAAACCAATATATCGGATTCTGAGCGAAATAAAAGACGAGCCATTCGTCAAGTGGCCAGCCAAGCTGGGGGAGACCCAGATGAATTACGACGACAGATCACGGTGCACCTTCCACAAAGAAAAGGGGCACCGAACTGAGAATTGCATGCCATTAAGACAGCACTTGGAAGAATTAGTGGCAGCAGGCCACTTGGACGAATACATAGAAGGAGGAGCGCAACAGGCCCCCCAAGATCATAATGACCATCCTAACAGAAAGCCAATAGACGCCCCACCACAAGGTATCATCAATGTAATCCATGGAGTTTTTGAACCTGAGCGCGTATGCGAGCTCAGAGGATCGATTAAAAAGGCTGAGCACTTCAGGGAAGTATTGAGTACCCAACCTGCCATCAAGAAGGGGAGGACAGAGGCAACAAACGTCATGTCCTTTTCGGATAAGGACTTGGAACGAATTTACTGCCCCCACAATGATGCCCTGGTCGTCACTCTCCGAGTCAAGGATTTTGACGTCAAGCGGATTCTGATTGACCAGGGTAGTTCATGTGAGATCATGTATTACGACACATTCAAACAACTAAAACTGCAAGACAAAGACTTGGCACCTGCAGTTTCTCCCCTGATCGGATTCAACTCCATGCCAGAGTGGCCTGTCGGCAAAATAATCCTTCCAGTCAGAGCAGGAAGTGTATCAAAACAGGTGGAGTTCTGGGTATTGAAACATACAACATCATTCTGGGCAGAACATGGCTGCATGCCATGCGTTCGGTTGCATCATCATACCATCAGGTAATGAGGTTCCCTAACGACTCCGGCATGATTGAAGAAGTTTATGGCGATCAAATCATGTCAAAACAATGCTTCACCACAGTGAATGGAAGCCGAGCTGCCAAAGGATACGTTCATTCGGTGGAAGAACCAGAAAGTAATGAACTATTCGCGGACGTCGGCAAAGAGGCTAATCTAAAAGCGGTAGAGGACTTGGTGGAGGTGAAGATAGATGAGAAGAACCCGGATAAGTTCTTCTTGCTTGGCTCATCGTTATCCAGCGCTGAGAGGTTAGAGGTCTTGGAATTCTTGACCTCTAATATCGAAGTGTTTGCCTGGACGCCGTACGACATGCCAGGCATTGATCCAAACTTCATCAGTCACCAACTCAATGTCCACCCATCCGCCAGACCAGTCATTCAACGCACACGCAGATCGGCACTCCACCACGCCGAAATAGTGGCAGAAGAGGTAGGCAACCTGCTGGAGGCAAGAGCAATAAGAGAAGTGCACTACCCAAGATGGATCTCCAACACAGTCGTAGTGCCGAAAAAGAATGGTAAATGGCGTGTCTGCGTCGACTACAAAACAGTCAACAAGGCCACAAGTTGGAAAGGGCAAAGTCGCAGCGGTTTTGGCTATCTCCATCTTTGGCATTAACTGCCCAAGATGGATCTCCAACACAGTCGTAGTGCCAAAGAAAAATGGCAAATGGCGAGTCTGTGTCGACTACAAAATAGTCAACAAGGCATGCCCAAAAGACAGCTTTCCTCTACCGCGGATAGATCAACTAGTGGACCTAACGGCGGGGGACAATCGACTTAGCTTTTTTGATGCATACAGAGGCTACCACCAGATCGCCATGCATGAACCAGACCAGGAGGTCACATCCTTCACAACACCAAGGGGGTTATATTGCTACAAGGTCATGCCCTTTGGCCTAAAGAACGCAGGGGCGACATTCCAAAGGATGGTCACCAAGATGTTTGAACCATTGTTAGGCAGAACAATGGAGGCTTACATCGACGACATGGTGGTCAAAAGCAAGGATGAGAATGACCATCTGAAAGACCTAGGCGAGATGTTCCAGATCCTGAAGAAACACAAGCTGCGCCTCAACGCATCTAAATGCGCATTCGGAGTTGGATCGGGCAAATTCTTGGGCTTCCTGGTGACCAACCGAGGTATAGAAGCGGACCCCTCTCAGATCAAAGCAATCCAGGAGTTGGAGAGACCAAACTCAGTCAAAGAAGTGCAGCATCTCACTGGCATGGCGGCTGCACTCAACCGGTTCATAAGCAGGTCGTCAGACAGACTACGACCATTCTTCCAAGCTTTAAAGGCCAAGTTTGAGTGGGATGAAGAATGCGACCGAGCTCTGGAAAGCTTAAAGGAATACATGTCTTCTCCACCACTACTTGTCACTCCAGTCCCTGGTGAAGACCTCTTTTTGTACCTGGCAGTTTCTCAGCATGCAGTTAGCGCAGTATTGGTTCGTACAGAAGGAATACAACACTTGCCCATCTTTTATGTCAGCAAGACATTGTTGGGAGCCGAAACAAGGTACTTACCCTTAGAGAAACTAGCATTAGCATTAATGATGGAATCCAGAAAGTTGGCACATTACTTTCACGCCCACACCATAATTGTCCTCACAGCCTTTCCACTAAAAGCTCTGTTTGAAAGGGCAAACTTTAGCGGGCGAATTCTGAAGTGGGCAGTAGAATTGGGACAATTCGACGTCAAATTCCAACCTAAAACCGCAATAAAAGCACAGTCCTTGGCAGACTTCATCGCAGAATTCACTCCTGGAAGTCATCATATCTGCCCAGTCGACCTGACTGACACAATCGAACTAGGGACGGAAGTTGACGCCGGAACAGCGCAACCCCTAGTGGAAAGCAGTCCATCAACCAAACTAGGGACGGAAGTTGACGCCGGAATAGCGCAACCCCTAGTAGGAGGTAGTCAATCAAGCACCAGGGCAGACCATGCTAAGGATAGCAAGGAAAAGACAGACAGATGCTCACCAACAGTTCAAACAGAAGACAAAGGACAGATAGCCAACATGGACCTTGAAGAGAACACCATTCTAGACCTCACGGCATCATCTGATCCTTCATTATCTTGTGATATAATGAACATTACCAGGCATGCCTTGGGGTTCTAGTAATTTTGATAATTCTTTCATCTTGGTCTATTATAATTATGACGGCATTTCTATTACGGGTAAAAGTGGCATGTCAACCATACAATTGGTGGATCACTTATACAGATCAATTGGACCAAGGGGAAAGGTTGCTTACCTACTGCCTCTCCTGCATCCTACTATAAGTGGGAGCCTTGTGCACTGGGTGCAACTTCGTTTGTGGTTTACAGTTCTTAAATTCTTGTTATATATATATGTTAAAAAATTGAATCTTGGATGACCAAAGTGACATGGAGCCCATTCTTTAGCGACCATATGTGTATTTTATCCCAAAATATATATCAACTGTCTTCCCTATACTAGTCTATTGACTAAAAGTGTGCTCTCTTTAATATTACTGACAAGTAGTTTTGATTGTTGGGTAATTGTTGAACATGAATATATATATATATTTATGGACTTTTGATATTGCATCTGATTGACTTTTGCTGGTTATACGCAGCGCTAGGAGATGGAGCAAACATCATTTTGGATCCAATATTTATCTTCGTATTCCGTATGGGTGTTAGTGGTGCAGCTATTGCGCATGTTATTTCCCAGTAAGTTTAATCTTTCCTCCAATCATGTTTCATCTACCAGTTTTGCCAAAAATATATTGTCAGAGGCATTGCATCTCTTGGTGCCTTCATTGCTCGTCATTTGTTTTATGGTATTTGCAGGTACTTAATCTCCCTTGTACTCTTGTGGAGATTAATGGGACAAGTTGATCTCTTACCCCCAAGTATCAAAGATCTACAATTTAGTCGGTTTCTTAAAAATGGTGAGGGTTTATAATTGCTCCCTGCTAGTGTAGTCATTGCTATTCATGCGCATGATCAAACCTTCTTATCTGCTTTCTCTCACCTTGTTCTAAATTGGTGCTATCTTCTTCTTTTGAGTACATTCGTGACCACCAAAAGTTTTTAATTTTCCAAAATGGAGCCTGACTTATAACTATTTTGATTCCTTATACAAAGGGCTCAGTGCTGGAATGAGACTGAATAGCTTCTCTAATTTAGTTATTTGAATAATATGGGAATAACTTGTCCTATATAGGCACAAGTGACATTGAATAAGTTCTTTTTAGGCGGTGATATAATTTTTCTGATGAATGCACTCCCGTTAACTAATGGCTTTTCATTCATTTTCTGAAATCAGGGCTTCTGTTATTGATGAGGGTAATAGCTGCAACATTCTGTGTGACTCTGGCAGCTTCCATGGCTGCAAGGCTGGGATCAACATCCATGGCTGCATTTCAGATTTGCTTGCAGGTTTGGCTGGCAGCCTCTTTGCTTGCCGACGGGTTAGCTGTTGCTGGGCAAGTAAGAATTTTTTTTTCCCCCCAGATTGTTTTTAAGTTTGATGCAATAGCCATGGTGTACATTGATGCCATGTTCTTAATACATTTAATAATAACAAGAAAATAAGTGCACTTCTGCAAGGACAAAAGTCGTCATGAAAAAGTACGGAGCAATTCTTTAGTCTGACAAAAACATATTATAGTGAAAATACACAATGGATACTCAATCTGGCCTACAGAGTGTCAGTAGGCTTGGTAATGAAAATACCCACCAATTAAATTTATTTGCGAGTGTGTGAATGTATTAACCATGATAATAATGTGAGTAAATTGTGCACAATATGAACACATATTTTTTACATGAAACCCTTTTGAAGGGTAAAACTGATCAAGACAATCCACTGTATGAAAGAGATTAATACAAGATTCAAGGCAGAAGTCTTGCAGCTAGTACCTCATATGCATTCTCAATCTTGGTCTTTGTAGTCCACAACAATCCACTTGTTTTCACTCTAATTCCATTGACCTCCTGTCAGTCTTCATTCCTTGAGTGGCATCAACCTTCCGTCAGCCAAATAACACGAATTTTGATTCCCACGACAAACAACTTCTTTTCTTTTTTTTTTGGTACATCAGAAAGTAAACAAAGCTAGGCTCTTTCTCTAGAGAGCCCTATCATATCAGCTACCAGGTAGCTTCGGATCTCGGCTGGTGGATCATTCACCACCAGAATATCTTCAGGTTGCTCAGCTCCAAGTTTGGCCAAAGCATCGGTGCACAGGTTCCCTTCCTTGAATACATGTTGTATGGTGCATTCACAACCCCTGAAGATGATCTTGGCATCTTCCAGCAACCCTTTTAAATGGAAATTTGTCTGCTACATCTTCTTCCATCAGTTGCACCACCTACTGTGCATCAGCTTCGATGACCACTCCATGCATCCCTTTCTGTAATATCACTGTTAGACCCTTGTAGAGAGCCCACAGCTCTGTCTCCAAACTGGTGCCACTGTCCATCTTCCCATAGTAGCCACAAACCCAGCTGCCTGTTTCATCTCTGAAGACTCCACCAAATCCTCCTCCACCTGCCAGTCTTCTACTGCCATTCACATTAAGTTTGAGTTTGCCTGCAGGAGGTAATACCCAGTGAATCAGTTTAAATGCAGGCCTAGGATTAATAATAGAAGCTTTAAAAGCCCAGTCAATATCTCTTGAATAATCAAGAATGAATTTTAGACTGTCATTACAGTTCGGAGAGATATTATCAAAAACAAAAGAGTTCCTGTTTTTCCAGATTTTCCATAGTCACAATGAACACAGAGGACCAAGTGGCATGGTCATTAAAGTGACTTTTATTTTTAGAGTTTGAAAGAAGCCACTGTTGCCAAGTCTGCCTGGTCATATCAATACACCAGTTTCTACCACACAAAGCCAACCATACTTCTTTAGCTTTGTAACAGTCTTTAAATAGACGTTGCATATCTTCCACCCCACAGCAATGAGGACAGATGGGATCAGCGCATAACCTCCTTTTCATCTTCGTTTGGTTAGTTAACTTTTAAGACTAGCCACATGAAACTTTTAAGTTTCTGTGGTAGTCTCAATTTCCAGATCCAACCCCAATATGCCTCACCCCTTTGAGGACCAATGATTAGATCATAGGTAGAGGCCACAGAGAATTCACCACATTGAGTTCCTCTCCAATTAGGACTATCCAAGAGAGAGTTAACAGGAGGTTGAGTGTTCAAGACAACAGTGGCAATATTGGGAGGTAGCATCAAACTAATTTTTGCCTCATCCCATCCCCCTTGATCATTCAGATACTCAACCACTGAACCAAGGCTTGCAGCAGATGTATGGATGGATTGGGGTGGATTGGGCATGTCATCCTCAAAGGATTTAGCCCCACACCACCAATCTTTCCAAATATCTACCAAAGCACCATTGCCAATATTCCACTTTACCCCTTTTCTAAGGATATGCCTAGTTTGAAGAATGCTCCTCCACACAAAGGAAGCATTCTTCTTTGTAGGCCAATTATAAAAGGGGGTGTTGCTCAAATACTTGTTTCTAAGGACAGTACACCATAAGCTATCCTCTTTATTCAAGAGTTTCCAACCAAGTTTAGCCAACAAGGCCAAATTTTGGTCTCTAGCTTTCTTTAAACCAAGCCCACCCTCAATCTTAGGCTTACAAACCATATCCCACTTAACCAAGTGGACTTTCCTTCTGTTTGGGGTATCACCCCATAAGAAATTTCTATTGAATCTATCAATCTCATCACACATTTTCTTTGGGACAGCATTAGTTTGCATAGTATATGCAGGGATGGCAGAGTTCACACCTTGAATAAGAGTAGTTCTACCAGCCAGAGAAAGCACTTTAGTTTTCCACCCAGCTAAGTTCTTTTGCATTTTCTCAAGAATATGGGTGAAATGCCCTCTAGTAACTCTCCCATGCTGAAGAGGGACTCCCAGATACTTCTCTAAATCAAAAGTTAAGGGAATGCCACACTTAGCACTCAAATCTCTGGCAACTCTTCTATCAATATTAGAAGACACAAACACCTTGGATTTGTGGGCATTGATTTTTAAGCCCAGAAATCTCACAAAATTCCTCCAAAATGGTCATAATTGTATTGCAATTTCTCATATCCGCTTTTCCAAACAGCATTAAATCATCAACAAAAAAGAGATAGGTTAGGCATGGGCCCCCTCAAGAGGGTTTAATGCCTTTCCATGTCTTTTTTGCAGCTTTAACACTAATCATGTTAGACAACTACTCCATGCACAACACAAACAAATAGGGAGAAAGAGGATCTCCTTGCCTTAACCCCTTCTCAGGTTTAAATTCCTTCAAAGGTTCACCATTCCACAAAATAGTTGTGCTCACAGTAGTTACACAACACATAATCATATCAATGAGGTTCTTATCAAACCCAAACTCATCAAGGGTTTGATTCAAGAAAGCCCATGAGATATTATCATAAGCTTTTTCCAAGTCGATTTTGAGAATCACACCTCCCACTTTCCCTTCTTAGACCTTAAAATATGGATAATTTCTTGAGAGATAATAATATTATCAGTCGTGGATCGGCCAGGAACAAAGCTACTTTGGTTGGGTCTCACAAGATTGCAAAGAAGAGGTCTAATTCTACTAACCAGAGTTTTTGCTATGATCTTGTAGGCCACATTGCACAAATTGATGGGCCGAAATTGTTTAATAGTCTCAGGGTTTTCAATTTTGGGAATAAGCGCAACCAGGGTTCTATTAATGGTAACAGGAATGGAGTGGTTGTTGTCAAAACAGTTTTTGATGAATTCAAACATAGAGGGACCAAGCACATGCCAATAAGTGTGATAGAAAATAGCCTGGAAGCCATCTCGACTTGGGGCTTTGAAAGCCTTAATATTCTTCACAACCCTCCAAACCTCCTCAATGGTGACAGTACTCATCAACACCCTATTCTCATCATTACTAACAGTATGAGTAGCCAAATTATTCTAGTGATGCAACATGGTGGTAGTACTATGAGTAAATAAATTAGTAAAGTAATTAGACACCATCAGTTTCAGAGCATTAGGGTTTTCAACCCAAACACCATTCTCACCTTTCAACACATCAATTTTTCTTTTCCTCCTTTTAGTCCAAGTGAGGAGATGAAAGAATTTGGTGTTTCTATCCCCTTGGGTAATCCACTTAGATCTAGATTTTTGAAACCAAAGAATTTCCTCTTGGTACAGAACTTCATTATACTGATCAATGAGATCCATTTCCAACACATGAAGGTTGTGGGAATAGATATTTGCTTGGGATTTCTGGATCTCTTCAATCCTCCCAAGCAACCATCTTTTCCTACGAAAGATATTGCCAAAAACCTCTTTATTCCAAATGCCGGCTTTGTGAGCAAAATTATCTAACTTAGATAAAAGAGAACCTTGGTAATTAGACCAATTTTCCTCCACTACTGCTTGGAATTCTTCATGAGAGATCCAAGCAGCCTCAAACTTAAAAAGTTTACAAGAAGGGGTGTAATGGGACATACCTTGGGTAAATATCATCATTGGTGAGTGATCAGAGTAAGTTCGTGGAAGGTTTCGAACCAGTCCTTCGGGATAGCTGGTTCTCCATTCGCTATTACACATAGCTCGGTCTAGTCTTACCATTGTGTTGGCGCATCCTTGTCTGTTATTTGTCCAGGTCAACCGCGGTCCAGAACATCCCATATCCATAAGATTGCACCGATTCATTCTATCAGTAAAAGTTTTGGTTCTCCTTTGGTCTTGGCTACTAAGACAAGTACCTGTAAGGCATCTCTTTTCATCCTGGCTAGCAAAGTCATTAAAATCACCAGCTACCATCCAAGGCTCAGTATTATGCTTTGCAATGTGCTCTAGACTTTCCCACAGATCCTCCCTCTTACTGCTCAGCGGGCTAGCATAAACTGCGGAGAGAAGCCACTCAGGGTAATTCTGTTTGGCTATCTTGGCCGTGATAAGTTGTGAGCTTGCCTCAGTTAGTCTAACATTAACAGAAGTTGGGTTTCAGATCATCCAAATACCTCCACTCCGGCCTATAGGATCAACATAAGCTGAAGTTGTAAATCCCATCTGGTTGCAAAACATACCCATTGAAGCTAGCTCCACCTTTGTCTCCATAAGAACCAACATATCTGGTTTGTGAATTTGGACCAACTCCCGCAAGCTGCGTTTAAACTTTTTGTTCCCTGCACCTCTACAATTCCTGATGAGCAAATCCATATGGGTAGTGATGTGGTTAGGTAAAGGGTTCCGGTCATCAATCCCCAGATGCCCCTTTGCTGTCTTGAGGTTGTCCTCCTTCGATTGTGTGGCCACAATCAGTATCATGTGCCTTTCCTGTCCCACTTCGATCTATCTCCATAGTTGTATTTAGCACCATCCTCTTTTGGTTCTGAGTTTGGCTCAGCCATTGTTTCATCGCTTGGATCCGAGGTACTCTTAATTTTTTTGTGCTTCGGATCAGGTGATCTTCCTCCTCCGTTGAGCATCCATTCTCCAGCCGTTGCTCACCGGAGTGCGAGATCTCAGCAACGGTCATATTTGCCTACAATGTTTACTATAGCACAAATATCCCCTTCAGACCTCACTATACTAGAATGAGAATGAACGAGACTTTCACGTACAAACAGCTTCTTTTCAAATATCCTTTCTACATACTAAAATTGTAGAACCTGTAAGGCTAATTAGGACTAATGCTAATGGGACCATCGATTAAGGATTTTGGAGACAACAATTGAATTGAGGATCAAGTAGAAATATAGGTCTAGTTGTGCCTCTAATCTTGTTATGCTACCCAAGCATCTGACTAAATCTGTTAACAATCTATTTTTTTTTTTTGTTTTTTAATTTTTTAGTTTTCGAACCTTTAGTTTTCTTGGCCCTGCCTGCCTGGTTAGAACTAATTGATTAAACCACATTTTGTTTTCTGAGTCTATGCACAGTTGTCCTTTCTGAAATTACCGTGTATAATATCATTTTCTTTTTGCTCTAACTTGTCTCCCATCAAATTATTGAAAACATGTCTGATTTTAAATTATCTCAGTAGCTGAATATGTAGTCATTTTGATTTATTTTCAGGCTATTCTTGCAAGTGCATTTGCAAGAAAGGATCTTGACAAGGCCACAGCAACTGCATCTCGCGTGTTGCAGGTATGCTTACTTCTTTACCCAATCATTACTCAAATTCCTTTTTCGACCCTTCTAATGTTTTGCATTTTAATGGCTTGACTCTACAGTTGGGTTTGGCTTTGGGCCTAGTTCTTTCTGTCGTTGTTGCTGTTATATTACAATTTGGATCAAGATTATTTACTGATGACCCCGATGTTCTGCAAATGTTAAGTTTAGGCATCCCGGTATCTCTCTCTCTCTCTCTCTCTCTCTCTAATGGAAAGATTTCTAGTAGTTTAATAGATACAGATAATTTTGAAGCTGATTTTTTTTGGCCTTGTTCTTTAGTTTGTTGCAGGGACCCAATCCATTAATGCTTTGGCATTTGTTTTTGATGGAGTCAACTTTGGAGCATCTGATTTTGTTTATTCTGCCTACTCCATGGCAAGTCTATAACCTTTTGGCTGCTCGCTGTTATGTACCTATTTATACTGTCAAGATCTCATTGTTTTCGTTCTATAGAGCATCCATTAGGATGCTCTGAAGTTGGAGGAAAAGAAATCTGAGAATTCTTTCTTTTTCTTCCAGTCTCCAACTTGTACATGATTTGATTTTGATTTTTTTTTTCTCCATATGCACCTTCAGAACTACACACTGTTTATACAGAATTTGCATGCAAAGATTATATTCTTCTTGTGTCCTTGTGCAGGTTTTGGTCTCAGTTGTGAGCACACTTTGCTTGTTTTTACTGTCTGCAAGTTTTGGTTTTGTTGGTACATGGATCGCTTTATCCATGTTCATGAGTTTGCGTGCATTTGCTGGCTTTTGGAGGTAATTTCTCTCATTTACCATTCCATTTTCCTTTCTTTTGTTCTTCTCTTGGTTCACCGGAAAGAAAAAATTTTTAAAAAAATGCTATGGATTTTCTATATCATGTTTTGAAGAAAAGTACAATAATCAAAGGGAAAAAAGAAAGAAAGAAAGAAAGAAAAGAAGAGAGTTTTAATTTAATGTAGACAACTAAAGCTTGCTTTAACACATACTCTTGCATTTGCAGGATAGGGACTGGAACAGGTCCTTGGAGCTTTCTCAGATTATGATTGCTGCCTACAGATGTTGGTATTTATTTATGTTTTTTCTCAGTTTTCAAATGTTGTCTTAAAGAAGTTGCAATATAAAGGAAAGGGATTTTTAAAAAAAAAATTAAAAAAATTGGGTGAATTTTTCTACAAATCCTATAACATGGAAGCATGGCCATCTGGGTGATTGTGGCATATATGATAATACACTTCTTAACAAGTTGATATTGCGCTTAGCCTAAAATCCAAAGGAGGAAATTTTTTATCGTACCTAATGTTGTGTATTATTATATTTTACTTTTTACTTTTTCAATTTTGGAGGAGAAAGAACTTGGACCATCCAAATAAAATACTATAGTATCAAAGCATATGATACAAGATGATAGACTTCATCAGGAAAGAGTAGTTTCAGTTTAGTGTTGCACAGCATTCAAAATGGATTCATCTCATTTTCATAATCATTGGTTGAATGTATTAACTCATTGTCATGCCTTCACAACAACTAGCAAACAAAGTTTGATGTTAAATGCAGATTGATCCAAATGATTCTCAACAATGTTATGGGGAATTTTTTTTTTTTTTTTGGGGGGGTTTTGGGGGGGTTGAAAAATTTTTTTTGGATTTTTTTCAAGCTTTTTTGGGTTCATGATTGTTAACCTAAGATTCTTGAAGGAGCTTCAAGAGATCGGAACGAGGGATTTGCTTTGGAAGATGGATAAAGGATGGTAATTTGGGGAGTCTTTTCTTTTTTTTTTATCCCATTTGGCGAGTCAATACTGAGTAAACCATCATCAGTGTTTTTGGGAAGAGCTAAATCAAAGGCATGATTCTGGAATATATATATATATATATATATAAGCCATCTTGTTTCAAAGTTACAGAACCCTTGTTGTTGCATAGGGAAGATGACAATATAAACATTCTTTATACATGAATTCAGATATATCATTCTGTACTCCATTAGATTGTTCTAGTTTTATAAAGTACTTTATTTACTTTTTCCTTTTTTGATGTTATTTATTTATTTATTTATTGGTTAACCTTTGATGTTATTTTGATTAGTTTGTGTCACATGTGCAGGTTGACTGGATAATTGAGTATACTTTAAATGTTGGGTCACATCCATGATCCATTTAGTGGATTTGGTGACCAAAAATACCTAAAAAATAGGGTAATGGCAAACTTATAATAATAGGGTTGGTGCTCATCAAAATGAGTTTTTAAAGAGTAATGCTAGGCTTCAGGAAAATATTTCAGGAAACGCTTCAGGAAAATGGAGGAGGAGGAGGAGGGGAGGAGGAGTAGGAACTGGAGGGGGCCATCAAAATGGAAGGAGGCGGAGGCGGGATTGGGCAGAGGCGGAGGCGTGCGACGGCAGGGCTGGGCAGACGACCGGGGCGGGGTTGGGCAGACGACCGGGCCTGGGTAGACGACTGACGGCGGCTGCGACGATCGGCCGACGGCGGAAGTGGAAGCGCCGAGCCCTTCTAGTTCCTCCTCCTCCTCCTCCTCCTCCTCTATTTTCCTGAAGTTTTTCCTGAAGCCTAACATTTTTGGTTTTTAAAGGGTGTTTGTTTGTGTTGTAATTTTATCGGATGTGATGCTCAAATTTGAATCTGATATTGTGTCCCGTCAGTGGGTACAATTTTCAATTGTGGGCCTATCAAGCCCTTTTGTTTTTAGGTAATTGTGTTTAGATTATGCATGAAAAAGATTAAATTGATCTAGGTAAAGAAAAAATATAATGAAAAAAAAGTACAATGAGAGAGTTTAAGAAAAAGGGCAGGACACACGAGCTTCAAAAATGAAAGAATATGATAATCCAAATATGCCACATATCATGGATCCAAAAAAAAAAAAAACCTTTAGTTCACTTTGATAATAGAAGAGAAATCCCATCACAAAATAAATAAATAAATAAAAATAAAAATCTTGACACCTTTCATTGTTGCAATTAACAATGCATAACCGAACTCTCCTCCCCTATCTTTCTTTTTCTTTTTTCTTTTTTTATTATTTATTTTAACAAAAAGAATAGGACAGAAAAAAGGAGAAATATCAATTCAGTATTTTTTTTTTTTTTGAAAAAAAATTCAGATCAGAGTTGATTGGATATCAGAAAGTATGTGTTTGAAAAATTGAACTAAACACTATTTTTTAAAGAATTTAATAAACAGTTTTCCGAACATATGATTTCTGATATCCGATCAACTTGATTTTTTACAGGTATGATATACTGAATAAATCATAAAATATGAATGGTTCGGATTATCAAAATTGGGCCTAAAAGTAGACCCGAAGGCCTGCAAGGACGGACGCAAGCACGGAAGCTTCAAGGACTCTGGGTTATGCTACTTTCTTCAGCTTTTTGCCGCTACTTTTCATTTCTTTTACTTTTGGTGAAGACAAAGAAGAATTAATAGCATAAAAAGAATATACCAAAAATTTCTATCTACTACTCCCTCTTCTCTTTTCCATAGGTCAACAGAGGTTTATAGCCACGTTTGTTTAGTAAATTAAGTTAGACAAAATTGTTAGTGGATGAATAATTAGCGAAAAGATTATTAATATAAAAATTGTGAGCGAGAGAATTAAGTAAAAATATGTTTATTTTGATAATAGTGTAAGAGATAATTAATAATGAGATTGGTAAATTATTTTAAAATAAAATAAATTAAAAAATATTTCTATATTAAAAAAAAAATAAATAAATATTAAAACAAAAGGGGCACTTGGGTTTTTTTTTTTATTAAAAAAAATTAAATAAATATTAAAACAAAAGGTGCACTTGGGTTTTAAAAAAAAAAAAAGTTGGCCGGCCAGTTATTTTTTTGTCTGGCCAGCTATGTTTGTAAAAAAATAAAAATAAAAATATTGCATTGTATCGGATGTTCGGGCAGACATTCGGACAGACGGCTGGATAGACTAGACCTGCTCATTATTTTCTTAATCTCACTCGTTTTCCAATCAAGCTAATCCACTCACTCGGGAAGATTACTAAACTGCCTAGACTGTAAAATCAATCTTCCCAAACAACACCAAACATACTGTGAGTGTGACCTACATCAATCCTACTCCAGTCCGGCTGGTGAAGCGGCCCAACAAGCTGGCCTATGTGTTGTAATCAAGCTTTTTATCTTCAATAACCAAAAGCATAATTCCCCATAACATATTTAAAAAAACACCATGCTGCAAGAAAACAATTTTTTGGCATTAGAAAATTCAAATCTATTTAATGACTCACAAAAAATACCATAACAATTTTTCTTTTCTTTTCTTTTTCTTTAATTTCATTTTTTCTTTCTCTTTTCACATTTATTTTTTTAGGAAAAAAGATTATAGAATCATATGTGACATGACAACACATCAACAGAAGGATATCACTATTTCTTCAACAAAATGCTTTACGTACTTTCAAAAGTAGATTCACAAGGCAATAGAACAATGTTCACCAAGCATCTGATCCCCATAAAGTTTTTTTTGAATATTGGGTGGAACTGGGCTTTTTTTATTTTTGGGTTTAGGGTCCCATCATCCTTCCTAACTTCAGCTGCAACAAAAAAAAAAAAAAAAAAAAAAAAAAACTACTTTTTTCCTGAATATTTGAGCTCCCTTCCTTCCTTCCTTCCTTCCTTTGTTACTGCCACCATCCTCCACATCCAAAAAAATAAAATAAAAAATAGGCAGTTTTCTTTACCAAATGCAGGTAGTTTTGAAATAGATTTCCCAAACCCCAAACCTTTTTAAGCTTATTTTCTAAACCCAAGTTGTTTCATGAAGTGCCTGTTTGGTGCAGCTTAAAAGCTGCTTATTTCAGCTTTCAGCTTAATTTAAGCTATTTTGATGTGTTTGGTTTAGTTTATAACTTATAACTTATAGCTTTTTGGAAGTCAGAAACCAACTTATTCTTTGAGTGGGACATGAGATGCTTAATTTATAAATCAGAAATCAGCTTATGTTCATAGTTATAAGCTATAAGCTGTTTAGGCATAAGCTATAAGCACTTTCCCACAACTCTACCAAACAGGGCCGAAGTCTACGCTAGGGTTGAAGTGTTGTTTCAAAACATGTATACAAAAAATTTAACAGTGACAACCCTAATGTTGTGTCAAAATATAACTGGTCGACTTTTGGGTTAAAGTTTTGCTTTCAAAATCCTAAAGTCATGTTTAGAAAATACAACTTCACGAAACAACTTGGATTTGGAAAATAAGTTTGAAACTGATTGGGTTTGGGAAATCTGTCACAAAACAACCTGCAATTGCATAAAAAAACACCAAAAACATATACTGTTTTCCAAAAACGCGCTGCTTTTCATGCTCAAGATAGGTAAAACATGATCAAGGTTTTACCAAGCCATGAGCTGATCAAGCTGCATTTGCTCCATCCAATCACCCAGAACAGACTGATCATTTGCTTCAATCTAGGAGTTCAAATTCGAGCCTTCGCTCAAAAATCCAGCTGCATCTGCAACTTCTTGTGGAGATTCTTTGACAAGTGATTGAACCCATGATAAATCAGGCTCGTCTCCATTGTTTCCAAGCTCAAACGACGATGATCTGCGAAGTCTACCAAATTCATCAGGATTAACAGACCAATCCGGCTTTCCATTGGATGAGCCCCATTTTGACCATGAATCACTAGCAGAATTGGAGCCAAGATCACGGAAACTACGGCTGCGAAACTGTTGTTTTTGCTTCTCGTGTTGAGCAAGCAATGAAACCCGAGGGCTCATTGGCGAAATAGTCTGATGCTGAAACTGATTGAAAATCGCTGACTTGTGTGTTGGGGAGAAAACAGATGAAGCCAGTGCCTGATCAGAAAACCGGGGAGAAGAGCTCTCAGCAGAACAGTTCAAAGAATTATTACTAATACCCAATTGAGAAAAGCGACACAGTTCATTTTGGAGCAGCTGTTGTTGCTGCACATCGAAATCAGGCAACAAATCTAAGTCCTCTGATGCAAAGTCTCTTGCATTAAGGGATGATCGTAAGCGACTACTTGATTGATGATTGTTGCTTCCTGGGAGATTCAATGCCGGGACATTTGGATGGGGCCAACCCATGTTTGAAATGCCATTGGTAGATGGAGACAAGGGTGGAGTGAACGGTGAGGGGGACATTATAGCAGAACCGGTAGAGACATGTAAGGGTCGGAGTTCTTGTTGTGTTTGGGCAAAAAAGCATACTCTCCTATTGCAACTTGTGCCATCTTTGCAAAGGCGAGTTCTATATTGAGCAGGATGGAGCCAGGACTCAAAAACACCGTGCGCGTATTCACACATATCCCCTAATCGACAAGCCCCTTTGCGAAAATCGGGACAAGGAACACAACTATAGTGATATTTCCTTGGGTCCCTTCTTCGAGCATTTTCACCCGGATGAACAAATGGGCAATCGGTCCAATCATGAGAGTAGGCACGAGAACAAGGCCGGACCTTAAATGAGAACATTCGAAATTCATCGGTTGAATAGATGGTGTTCTTGATGTCTGGCATGGACGGGTCAATTGGGTATTCTTTCTTTTCTGAAAGAGTAACATTGATGAACTTAGAACTGTTGGGGGAAGAATTGGAGTTCGAAGATGATGATAGGGATGGTGATTGCGGTGGAGAATTAGAATTCGAAGTGGCGGTTGATACAGAATCATTGGTTGTGAGAAATTTCTCAAGAGAAAATTTCAGGTCTTGGAATTTTGGGGACACTACAATAACATCAATAGGATAATGGCCATTGCCATTGATCATATTAGGATCAGCACCGGCTTCTAAGAGAAGTTTCATAACATCAACTGCGTTCATAGAACCGCCTGAGGCAGCACAATGAAGCGCCGTGTTTCTATCAAGGCCATGCGGTTGATTGACATCGACAACAACATCAGACAATGAAAGAATCAGTTTGACAACATCAACACTACCATATGTAGCAGCAACCATTAATGGAGTTCTATGCTCTAGGACCATCTGTTTCGACCCCTTTTGACGGCCATACCATAACCCGACCTCATCAATGCCCGAAAGGTCACACTCAATATACCGTTCAAAGCCCTCAATGTCATTGTTAGCAGCAAAGTCAAGCAAACTGGCAAAAGTATCTTCGGTTTCAACAGTCAAGTTATTCATTTCAGAGACGATCGATATGGGTTCTAATCACTCTAATTCAAAGCACATGGTATCATTTAGTGGCGTTAATCCAACTGAACACAACAATGAAAAACCCATCATTAGAATCAATTAAAAGCAGATATTAACAAACACATCGTAAGAAAAATTAAGACAATATATTTGATAAAAATCAAGAAATTGAATATAACAAGCACCAATAGATTAACATCAAAATCATAGAAAATGCAAGAAACAATATAGATTTCACGATGAATACAAATATGCACAAACATAAATGGCAACAAATATAGAACAAAATGAAAAGATTATGTTATACTACTTGTAATGATTGAAAATTTTGGAGGCTATTAATAGATAATACAGAAGGAACTTAAGCTATATTATATTATATAGATTTTTGGACACGGGGTTGTGTTAAGACAGATCTATATTTGGACAAAATCTCTATAAAATCGGAGGGTTTCAAGTGACACATGTAAGCGAATTAAAGTGAAAGATAGGTTAAGGTTTGTTACGTGATGGGTCGTTGAACACACCAAAATTAAATACTAAACTATATCAAATTTTATCAGAATAATGGCAAGTCCAGGTATCGATCCACAGGGACTATTGTGAAATTAAACTAATTTAATTGTCAAATTTCTAAATTAATTTTGATAAAAAGATTGGTTTTTTATAACCTAATTTAATAACGAATAAATTAAACTAAGGAATTAAATTATCAATAATAAATGAAATTGAGTTTACTGAATTAGGGAAAAATCCTAAGGTAGAGAATTCATCACTAACCACATAATTAGGGTTTCCAATTGAAATCAATTATGCTATGGTTTGAACGGATTAATGCTTCGCAACTACAAGTTCAAAGCACTTAACAAGAAGATCATCACATTCAATATACGAGCACGAACCATTTCAAGTAATACGAACCGTTCACTCTAAACTAAGGTAGTGATACGACTCGTTCCTCGTAGTATGGTTCGTCCCATACCTTGAATGTGAAGGAAAAGAAAACAATTGTATGAATAACATTTAACAATCACAGAAAGTCAAATATTCGAAAGAATAATGAAAATTATATAAAACAAACTTCTAAATCACCATACAAATGTTCAAACCTTTACATAATTAAAAATCAAAAAGAAAACTAAATAATTACATGGCTAGGGTTTCATCAAAACCCTAGAAAAATGAGACTAGCCACTCATGGAGGAATGAAAGGAGGTAGATGGAGAAGAAACCACCATGGGAGACATCCTTGAAGCTTTTTGTTTCTCTTCCCTTCAAAACCCTAGCCTCTCTCTTTAGGTCAAAACAACTTCCGAACTCTAATCCAGCCTTTTACTTGCTTTTTTATACTTCCAATCTCGTCCAAACAGGTTTAAAATGTCGGTTTGATTTTCCCAGAAAAAGTCAACACACGTGCGGAAAAGTCAACGCACGTGCGGGAAAAGTCAACGCACGTGCAGGAAAGTCAACTCTAACCAAATTCTGTCTTTTTGCTCATTTTATGCTCCGACAATGTACAATCTAATTGACACTCAACACACATAAAATATACAGCTTGACCAGCAAGTGAAGTTAAGAGATTCTAATTAACGACCTCAATGACGTACATTTCGGCCTTAATCACATCCCCCAACTTACTACTTGCTAGTCCTTAAGCAAGTAAAATAAAATAAAATTAAATTAAACAAAATCTATCTATTTCCTCTTTTGTGGCAAAACGGTTGCATTTAGCATATGCAACAAGCCTTTAAACCACAAGGTTACCCCAAGTGGACGAGTAAAGTCTCGTGAGGGTTTCCAGAAATGATACCCACAAACATTAATATATTCATATATACTCAACAACAAATGACTACACTACTCCACCTAACAATCAACTTATGTGCCACTACAGTGTGATATTTAGGCATCATGAGTCATTAAAGACACAGTGGACAAGCATGAAAGAACCTATTGAGTCAAAACCACAATTCAGTTAATACAAAAGTAAAGTTCCCTATACTTGTGCATGCTAGTAGACAAGTCATGAGTACCCTCGGTGTAAAGTGCAATCTCTATATTAGTTAACTATCCACTATAATAGCCCAGTGTAACTCATAATAACACCCATCATATACAGAAAGACTAACCGGTTGCAGCCAAGATTTTCAAAAGTTGTTGTTGTTGTTGTTTTTTTTTTTTTTTAAATGACTGTGCAATGTCCTGATCCATTAAGCTTTCTAATCAACCCATATAACAAGCATTGGGCCAATGACTCCCAAACCAGACGGTTTTAGGGCACTAGGTGTAAAGACACCTCTACGGGCTTAATAACTCGAGTTGAAAAGGTTACGAATCCGAACAAGTCATTCTTCTTATTTTTCCTTAACTGTGCAATGTCCATGTCCCGTAAGCTTTCTAATTAACCCATGTAACAAGTGTTGGGCCAATGACTCCCAAACCAGACGGTTTTAGGGCATTAGGTGTAGAGACACCCCTACGGGTTTAATAACTCGAGTTAAAAAGGCTACGAACTCAAATTAGTCAAGTGGTTTTTTTTTATTTTTTATTTTTTATTTTTTTTTAAGAATCTTGGCTCCTCATTTATTCTTTTCTGCAACTCTAGCTATTATCAATGATGTACACCAGGGATTATAATAAAAAGATCACTGCTATGATAGTGTGTTCATGTGAATTAAGACATACTCATGACAAGTGTACTAATACCACAAACATAGACAACTCTCCTCGTGCAAACATGGCATGCAAGTATCTACCCAATAAACTCTTTTCATACAAGTCTACTATGCTCTCTAATTAACATATGCAAATATCATCACTCTACTAGTAAAAAGTCACATCAGGTGAAGTAATGCAATTAAGTGAAACAAGTATAAGCATGAATTATGAGCCACATAGGAATGCACAAAAGAAAATATAACCCTCATCTCCCAACTTGAATATGGCATTGTCCTCAATGGAAAAGTAAAGAGAAATGAGAGAATATTACCAGAATTGTGGGTGCACATCCAGGAAGGCAACACTATTACATGGCAGCGTTTTAGTTATTGCTTTAAAAATAAAAATAAATCATTTGAATTGAGTTTATTTTGGGAAAATAAAAATAAAAATAAAAGAGACAAAGCAATATACAGGTGGGGACTACGGGGAAGCCGGTGGTGGTGGTGGCGGGAAATGCTGGGACCTCTGGCTTTTTTTTTTGGAGGCCCGGGCAGATACACGTTCGATTCATAGCCTGCCCACACCAAAAACAAATAGACACAAAGCCGTAGAACCAATCATGAGAATAAAATAAAATATGAAAGCACAAGTTGGTCCACTAATGTCCCACATGCAATTCCCCTTTTTTTTTTTGGTAAATAAAAACGAAAATAATTAAATAAATGAATAAAAAATGACCTTAAATTAAATTAACTAAATTATAAACGAAATTAAACTAAACTAAACTATAAAATAACTAAACTACAAAAGAGACTAAAGTATAGAAAAAAATAACCTAAACTAACCGATATTTTTTTAATAGAAGAGAAGAAAATAAAATAAAATAAAAACTAAACTACTTATTAATTAAATGAACAATTACAGTATAGAAGAAAAATAATAATAACATCACTAACTACACAAGTATAATAAAAATAAAAATAAAACCAAAATCTATTAACTAATTAAACTAACTAGAATCATTAGGAAGCAATTTAAACTAAACAAATATAGCAAATAAAAAAAAAAACTAAATTAAGATTATTGTTAACACCATGATTTCTGAGTTTTTTTTTTTACGAAAATAGAAAATAGAAAATAGAAAATAAAAAATAAAAAAAACTAAATAAATAAAATGATTTTTTTTAATTGTATATTTATTTATTTTTTTATTTTTAAAATTTATTTATGCATTTAGTTAAAAATTATTTACATCAATAAATTAAAAAAAGAAAAGAAAAGAAAAATAATAATAATAATAAAATAAAAAACAAAACCAAATGCAGCAATGTTCCGCACATGGCCCGCAGCTGCGGCGATTTGTCAACTTCGCGCGATTTTTTTTTTTTTTTTAGGCAAACGTCGTCCCGCACGTGCGGGGCCCAAGCCGCACGTGAGGCTTGGTCAAAGTTGCCCAGCCCGCACCTGCTTTTAAAGCAGGAGGAAAACTTGTTTTGTGGGATTTTTTTTTTTGCCCCATGTGCGCACAGTGCCGCACATGCGGCGAAAATTGTTTATTGTTTTTTTTTTTTTTTAGTACAAGACAGATTTTGTTTATATTATATATATATATATATATATTTGTAAAATTGAACAAGTATAAACACCTTTTTTTTTTTTTTCTTTTTTTTTAAACACAATTAACAATAAAACAACATTTTAAAAAATCAAAACTAAGCATTTCTACACTTCAATTGACATCCGAAATAAATATAGTACATAAGAAATAACGGAATGCCCACTAAAGGTATAATCTTCACGGAAAACCACGGGTACTACTTTTCTCCCTAACTGTGTTTGTAACTTTCCCTATTCTCCGACAGGTGACAGAACTAGGTTGATTCGGTATCCAGAATCGAGGCGCATAAAGCTACCTCAACCTATGGGGCTGCCATACAGAGTTCAAGCCGAGGTAGTTTTGAAGCAATCTCCACACCCCTGGGTATTTAAACCAGACTCTAGTCTCGGAAATCCCAAACTTTGTGTTCTAGGCTTTGCCATTCAAATCTTCTCATTTCCACCGTCTCAGTTGGTCTCCTAGGAACTCACTACAAACACGGTTAGGTGGCTATACCAGACGTCAGATGCTGTTCGCGACCGGCTAACACCAAAGGAATTACACCTTAGAGGATTTAAAGTCTCCTAGACGCAAATAAAGCATGACGAGAGCAAAGAAAAACAAAATAACATAGAAGGAAAGAAAAAGAATAAGGAATCAATCTATCAATCATAATAAAATGGTCCATCAAACCCCTGGGAAGAGGAAATGATCCTTCCTAGTCGAGGAATTTAGTCTCC